AGATAGCAGTAATGATCATTGATCCAATAACCGGCTCTACAGGTCTCCTATACAACAAATAGGGACCAAGTCTCAATCTACAGCTCAAAATACTCAATTTGACCTAAAGTCAAACTTGGTCAAAGTCAACGGTCAACGATAAAAATTCAATGGTTAACTTCAGCTGATCTATGCTCAGCGTAGCAGCTCTACACCTAGAGTAGAGCTTAACATGGCGAAAACGGGAAACATAAGGGCTATACCCAGTGTAGGGAAATTTACGCTCCGCCTAGACACCTGATGACCAACTTAATTATTAATTCCTTAAAACAGACGATCAACTCTTCTTATTTTTAGATCTATACCATATGAATCTCTTGATGGATAAAGTCTGTGATTTTATCCATTTACATGGTCACAAAGAGCACACAATTAAAACCTAGGTCCATAAAGTTGTTTATTGCTCATGAACACATGCATGGATGGATGAGAGTGACCAAACTCTCATTTTTATGACTTAATCACCCTAAAAATGTCTGGAAATGGTGCTCCAAAGGTCTGGAGTAGCTCATACTCATAAAAACCATGGTTGTGAGGACAATAGCATGAAAATCATAGGCATAACTAGATCTAACATGAAACAACATCAATGTGGAAACTTTATACCTTCTGGAGATGGATGAGTGGATGCAAATTCTGGATTTATACTGATTTAAGCTCCCATGTGGTTGCACAATGCTCTTTTTCCTTTAAAGTGAATACAAAACACTCCAATGGCTCAAAACTGACAGATGGGGATTAAGACTTTTAAGGAGGTCGTTTGGGAGGATGGAGGCTGAGAATGGAAGGGCCTCAAGAGGTTAGAGCCTTTAAATAGGGATCATAATCCCAAGAATTAGGGTTTTGGTTTTGGGCTCCTACACCCTGCGTAACTCTATCTACGCCCCAAATAGATCATTTAAACCTCACATCCAAGTTCCCTCCTACGTGTGGCGTAGGGGGCTATCATACGCTCAACGTAGGGTAGGATTTTTGTATGTATGTATGTATGTATATATATATATATATATATATATATATATATATATATATATATATATGTATAACTTTAAATATAAATGATAATAATACCTTCAAGACCGGGTGTTACAATATTCGATCATATACAGGCCTCGGAAGACAGCATATCATCTACAACATAACAACTGGTTCTAGTTTGAAAAATAACCGAAAAATCGGGACCGGAACCAGAACCGGCACGACATCGGCGGTCTGGTTCCCGATTCCTATAATGTAGAAAATCGGGTTCCGGTTCCGAATCGGTCCTGTTATAAACTTCATCCCTACCTTGTATTCAACCTTTTATCAACACCCTGAATGACCTTTCAAACACATCTTAAGTGACCCTTACAACACCTTCATCCATCACCCCCTTTCCTAGATCACAAATTACATAGATTTCACATACTTCATATAAGTATATTAATGTTATGATACCAAATTAAAATAAGTTATTATTATGATGACAAATTACATAAATTTACTATTTACCTTACTCTATGTGACATGAACATCTGATTGGTGTACCCCTGAAACACCCTCATCCATCTTCTACTTGTCCTGATCACATATTCAAGTACATTGATATTATGATCACTATTACACAAAAGTTAAAGGTGCTAGTCTTAGTACCTTTCTTTAAGTGCTTGTTTCGGTTCTTAATCTTTGACTAGCTTTTATGATTGTCTCAGATTGGCTATTTTTAATGGTCTTACCAATTTCTTCTTCTATTTTTGTGGTAGTGTTTTTTTTGTATGTCCTTATTCCCAACAATTTATGCAAATTTGTATGCCACACATAGCTCTTACTCTCTTATATCGTCTACCATATGTTTTTTCCTTTTGGTTTTATGACTCCATTGAATTGTTCTAGCCATTGGTGGTAGTGGTTTAGTGTTAGAGGTTCCAGGCCACATACTGCTACCATTTAGGGTCTTAATATTGCATTTGTGAGTTTCTACAAACATCTCATTACTAAAATAGTTATTTATGAATAAATTTGGATGTTGATGTGTGTAGTTCATAGTTGTACAAGCATAGGCACATAGAATGCTAGATAATTCCTAAAGGCTACAAGTACAAAATAATACATCAAATCCTTGCTTAACTTCACAAAGTTGTGCCTTACTTGATACTACATCCCATAACCTATAATATCATATAATGTTAGTAGAAATATTGAAGCTTTCTTAAGAAACAATAAAAAGTATATCATGTCAACACACTAGTCTCGAAGATTTATTAAGATTAAAGGACAAACATCCTTATTCCAAGCAAGGTGTTTGTTTGACATTATGCAAAACCTCTCAATAACGTAGATTCGTATATATTTCAAAAATGTAAGTATTGGTTTTGTCCTTGCATCCATTATCACTAAATTGAATCATTTAGATATCATATTGTCTACATCTTCACAAGCCCTTCCTTCAACAAAGAATGCCCTACTCTAAGTGTTTAGGTCCATTTGAACAAGGTAGTTATATGTATTGTTATTCATACATTATAGTTCCTCCATTGCCCCCAATAAAACCTACCTTAGTGCATAAAGTGGATGGTAAAACAATATTTTATAATCTACACCATTATATCCCCTTTTGAAATTTGCAAACACATATCTTGCACATTGTATGTGCTTCACTCTAGGAAAATAACCTTTACAACATCCGCTAACCCCTAAAACTTTTAAAACATATTAAAATGCATTAAAAGATAATTATGTACAAAATAAACTAAAATAAATTAACATTAATGTTACTTTATGTTGACCATAATGATAGTCAGTCCTTCACCAAGTAGTACACCAATGTTATCTACTAGCATATCTAAAAATATTACTAGTTTGACTTGTTTTCAACATCAACCATATCCCATTTAATTGGGTATACTTGGTTGTTCCCATCCCTTCCAACTATAGTAAGAAACTCCCCATTTTCAGTGCCCTTTTAAGGAAACAAATGTACAATCCAATAACTCTTTTATAACCCCCACTCCAACCATCTTTCACTGCCTTGAAGCAAACATAAAACCTATGAAAGTAAGTGCTTCCATCTGGATTAACATTAACATCTACTTGGTTGTACTTTGTGGATTAGACCTAGGGATCTTATAAGCATAATCCTATATATGATCATAACGTTATATGAGCTTCTTGTCAATAATATCCAATGATTTCTTCTTTTCCATGTAGCATTGGTCCTTTAAGACTTCACATAGAAATTTCTTTTTCACAGCTTCTTTAATCTCTATACCTTTCATTCTAGGCATCTTATACAAATGTGTATGGAACTGTTTTGCAATCCAATTAGGATTGACCAATATAACACACCTAAACACCCTAATGCAAGCATATGTGTCATTAAATCCCTCAGTTTGAAAGTACTTTTCCTTGTTCATCCATAAAACCCACATTTTGAAGGGACATTGGTTACCTTTCTTGTCTATACCACACTTAGCATGATGCCATAGTAGAGGATTTCACCACCCTTATTAGATACCCATTCACAACAATATAATTTGTGAGACAAAACTTTAATTGCTCTTGATTAGCAAACATTACTCTAAAGTGTAGCTTCATCTTCTTCCAATTAATACTAGGGTCATGCATACCATGTGAACAACTCTTTCACCCGATTCATCATCGGTTCCCCTATCCAAGCTTCAGTCATTATCAGGTGTTCCATCTTCTTTAATTACTTCATCATTTTTTTATGTTGTTTAACAGGTACATGGAAAAAATTATACATAAAATCATCATAACTAACATTTACATCCTGACAACTAATTTCTTCCTCATCACTTTCATTTAATTTTGGATCAACCACAAATGCTTGCTCATTTGATTCACTTGATGTTTCTCCTTCCAAAATACTTTATTCAAAATCATAATTATAATATTCCCCTATATCATTGTAAGGAAACAAAATGAAGTAAGTCAATAACTGTTTATTAAATGTTCAACAATATTGGACCTTAACCTTAAAAATAAGTAAAAATTATTTTGTGGAAATCTTTAAGAAACGTTTCTTATTAGCTTTGGCTCTTGCTAATCAAGAAATTTTATCTAATGAAAAGTTTCCTAACAACTTTGGCCCTTAACAAAACTCCTACTAAAGAAGATGATAATAACAACGAAATTAACAAGGACAAAATTAGCTAGCAAAAAACAAATCATTATTCTAAATAGGATGTTAACACTATCAATTTTGTGTGACAAATGTTTTTAGTTTGTATAAAAAGGTATAAAATTGTTGCAAAGTAATACCATTGAATAAAATTGTAATAACATAAATGAGATATCTTGGTTCCATGTGTGTTTCATCTCATGATGTTGGTTCATCCATGTCCCCGTGCGCCCCACTTCGCTTTTGTTCAATCACTAGAGGTATCGATTGATTGTGGTGTTTGAGTAATTAGGGCAAAAAAGTAAAAGACACGCTTGTTTGACAAAGGGGTAATAACATTCAATGATGTTGCAAGGTTTAAATGAGAATCGGTTATGTGGCTAGTATAACCGGGAGAACGGGTCGATTGTTTAAAATTGAAACAAAATTATAAACTTAATAATTTAATTAAAAAAAAATAATACATTGTCAAAATCAAACTTTTTTACAAAGTTAGTTTCTTTTTATACAATTTGTCCAAAGAAATATCACAATATTTATCATTATAAACCAATTACTTTCAAAAACTGAATATCCTAATTTTTGTAAAGTTGAAACATCATTATTGTTATTTAAATGGAAAAAACGAGTAAAATGAGAACAAAATAATAATTAAGTAAAACAAAATAAGATATTCAAATGAAAAGCGTTTTTTCTTCCTTAAAGCCCTTTTGGTTATTCTCAAAGTTGCTTGATCTGAATTTAATAATCAAAATAAATATAGTCATTTATAGTAAAATTAATTTATATGTAGCCCATTTTTTCTTTTCTATGTAGATACATCTAAACATTAAAAAGTGATAAATGGGAAATAAATTCTTTTGAGAAACAAAGAAATTTCCAATTTGAACTACAGCGCACGTAGTCACGTCGCCTCCCATCTTGGATTTCCCTATAAAAGGGACACCGTGGTCCTCCTATACGGTCGTCGTTATCTATCGCTCCGATCCAATCCCTAATTCAGATACAACTTACGAGCGTAGATCAGAGACGAAAACCTGTGATCTACGTACACGTAGATACATTTGAGATTAAAAAACGAGAGATCTAATGCGAATGCAGGTCGGTTTTTCTTTTTTCTTGTTTGTTTCTGGAGTTACTCATGAATTTGTATGCAATTAGCTGAGATTTTTCTTCCTTTAAGAGTATCTATTTATATCAAGAAGTTATATATTTGAAGTGGTTGTAGCTGTGGCTTAATCGTGCATGATATAGTAATAATTGTATGACTGGATCTGGGATCAGGTTGAAGTTCGGAGAGATGGTTTAGGTATTTGTTGGGATTTTGTTATGATATCGCTAAACCCTAATTTGGAATACTCTGTGATGAAGTTGAAGGTCTTTTTTCTGTATGTGTGATAATATTTTGACTTTAGGGTATATTCGGAGCTCCGTTTCCACGGATTAGACTTTTGAATCAGAGCAAGTAAGTTGAGGTTTTTAACTAACTGGGATTCATTTCAATTCTATGCCTCAAATTCCGATCTCCCAAGTACTGCTTCCAGTATTTCACAACTAGCTTATGGTTTTAGGGATTTACATTGTTGGATTTCAAGTTGTGAAGTAATCCCTGGTGGATGATTGTTATGACAGATTTGCTTATGAACATAAGTAAAAGAACTACAGCTTGGGAAGATTATACTCCCTCTATTCCACAATAAATTCTATCAGATTTGACATTGATCCTGTGTTAATTTCTTGAAAATTACAAACCTGTCACATATACTTTAATCCCAACAAGCCAAGACGAGTGTCTTAATTTGAGAGGGATACTTTTATCGACGTTGATTTTCATATAAATAAAGGGCTAGTGGAATTACTTTTGGTCTCATCCCGTTGTCAAAATTAAGTGCCACTCTTTTATCTCTTGTCACTTCAGTCCTTAGTTTTTCCCCAATAAGGAAAAAGTTATGCATTGTATTCTGATGCTCACTGATTATGATGCTGAAAGTTGAATAAAGATGATATAAAGTCGAGTGAAAGTTTTCTACTTACTTTTGTTAGTGGAGGTGTTATGACTTTTGTAGCAGTTAAGATTCTTTCTATTCATTTAATAACCAGTTGAAGTTTATAAAGATTAATTATTTTCCCCTCTTTTTGTAGGTAAAATCAGTTGCTGGTTTTGATAGTTACAACTACCATTTCAAAGGGTGATGATATAGTTAGTTAATGTGTGGTGACAAGATATAAGTTTGTTCTTCTATATGGCAGATAGTATATCGAGTTTTTGGGGCCCAGTTACTTCCTCCCATGAATGGTGTGAAAAGAATTACACTTATTCTTCTTATGTAGCTGAGTTTTACAACACAATATCAAATGTTCCATGCATTCTTTTAGCCTTAATTGGCCTTTTAAGCTCATTGCTACAACGCTTTGAGAAGAGATTTAGTGTTCTTCACTTGTCAAACATGGCACTTGCTCTTGGAAGTGTCATGTATCATGCCACCTTGCAACATGTGTAAGCACTCTCACCTTCCTTTTTATTTAAGGGCAAAATGGTCATTTCACAATGACTTGTGACTTGTGACTCGTATGAGTTTAACAACTATGCATATGATATAATAAAGAGTAAATTACACGAATGGTCACTTTGGTTTGGGGTAATTTGCACGTTTGGTCCCTAACTTATTTTTTTAACTTGAAAGGTCCTTACTGTTTGTTTTTGTTACGCGTTTGGTCCCTGTCTTACCTAAAAGGACTATTATGCCCTTATTTAGGGTTGGGGGTGTGTTTATTTAAATAAATTAAAAAATTAAGGGCAAAATAGTCTTTTCAGGTAAGACAGGGACCAAGCGCGCAACAAAAACAAACAATAGGGACCTTCCGAGTTAAAAAAATAAGTTAGGGACCAAAAGCGCAAATTACCCCAAACCATAGGGATCATTTGTGTAATTTACTCTATATTAAACAAATGAGTAAAAGTAGGTTGCTATTAATGTAGGCAACAACAAAGTGATGAAACACCAATGGTATGGGAAATGCTTCTCTACATCTACATCCTCTACTCCCCAGACTGGCATTACAGAAGCACGATGCCAACTTTCCTCTTTCTTTATGGAATCTCGTTTGCAGTTCTTCACTCGATAATCCGTTTTGATATCGGATTCAAGCTTCACTACATCATGTTATGTCTTTTGTGTATCCCAAGAATGTATAAATATTACATTCACACACAAGATATTGCCGCCAAACGGTTGGCCAAATTCTACTTTGCCACCCTCTTGATTGGCGGCGTTTGTTGGTTGGGTGACCGGTTTTGGTGCGGGCGGATATCGAGGTGGCCGGTCAACCCGCAAGGTCATGCTTTGTGGCATGTTTTCATGGGGTTTAATTCGTATTTTGCAAATACGTTTTTGATGTTTTGTAGGGCTCAACAAAGGGAGTGGAACCCTAAGGTTGTGAGGTTTTTGGGGGTTCTTCCTTATGTTAAGATTGATAAACGAAAGAGAGAGTAGGAAGGAGAAGGGTAGTCGGGTAATTTTATCGGTTTTTTATGAGTTGGATATTTTGGAGTATATTTTCGAAATTGGGGTAAAATGGATGTGATAGTAGAATATGTTTAATGTACCAAATTTTGTAATCCTTTTGTGATACAATTTGTTTGATTCAATCATTGTTAGTGCGTTTTATGTCTTTTGGAAAGAGCAAGTATGTGGTTCTTGATTCATCTAATTTGGTGAGAGAAAAGATTGAAATTAGTGTCTTTCTAAGACTAGTTTGGATGATTGAAATTATTATCAAATGTGTAGATTTGAATGCATATAGATTACAAGAGTCGCATGTAATGGTGTTTGAATATTAAGAATAATAATAGATTACAACAAGCTCTCAGTTTTAACCCAACAAAATTAGGTCAAAAGAGCCACAACCACTGTACAATAGTTGTCTAATCTATGATTAAAAAAAAAAAAAAAAATCAGGTTTCACCAAATTGGTGGTCTTTAATGATCTGTCCAAGTTTGGAGTAGAGTTCACGTTGTTCCTCATATGAGAGATTCATTACAATCTGATATAATTAATTCAAAATATTTGTATTAATGAAAATTTTGTGTAACTGAAATTATAATTTATAAACAGAAGTTGGTGTTGGAATACCTGGTCTAAAATCATCCCAAGTGATACGCTTTGAGCAACAATAAATGACTGGTGATATATGTATGCAAACACAGCCATAACCATCTGTAAGTTAAAAAAAACATCAGCAGTAATAATAATGATAATAAGTAACTTTTATAAAATTTATAAACCATTAAAGTACATTGCTATTTCTTGCATTTAATCACTGACCTGGCAGTCCATTCTGTCTGTCATCCCACCATGTCCGGGAATACTATCCCCAAAATCCTACAGAGAAATGATGACATTTAAAAAAAAAAGATAAATAAATATGAATTTGTTATAATGGAAAAGCAAAGGAAACAAATACCTTGATGTTAAAGGCTCTTTTGAAACCACTAGCAAAGAAGCCACCAAAAGGTGCAATTATTGAAGCAAAAAGTCCAAGTCCCAATGCATGCCATTGCACTGGTAGAATTTGCATCTCTTTACATGGAAACTTACCAAAAAAAAAAAAAAAGAGTAAATTACACGAATGGTCCCTATGGTTTGGGGTAATTTGCATGTTTGGTCCCTAACTTATTTTTTTTTAACTCGGAAGGTCCCTACTGTTTGTTTTTGTTGCGTGCTTGGTCCCTGTCTTATCTAAAAAGACTATTTTGCCCTTGATTCTTTAATTTATTTAAATAAGGTGGGGTAGGTAAGGTAAGGTGAGGTGGAAGTGAGGTTGGGGGTGTGTTTATTTAAATAAATTAAAAAATCAAGGGCAAAATAGTTTTTTTAGGTAAGACAGGGACCAAGCACGCAACAAAAACAAACAGCAGGGACCTTCCGAGTTTAAAAAAATAAGTTAGGGACCAAACATGCAAATTACCCCAAACCATAGGGACCATTCGTGTAATTTACAAAATTAAAAAAGTACAATCTCCTAATAAGAAAATAAAAAAAAAAGTAAATTGTTATTTCTTGCATTTAACTTACCCATTCGGGTAACAGAAAATTCTCAGGCTTAAACAAAGGGTCAGGGTCACATTGAAGCCATCCAGTTGACAAGTCCTGCATCAGTTATTATTTTGTCTTTAATTATTATTATTATTATTATTATTATTATTATTATGAGTATGGATGTTAAAATACAAATGAATCACCTTTCTAGGACATGTCAACCATTGGAAGCGTCCAAAAAGATTAGCAAGCTGCAGACAATTAAATATTAAACAAATTTTATAAAAATTGTAAGAATTATATTATATATAATTAATTACCACAAAGGCAGATATGATGGTTGAAACAGATGCCCCAATGAATCCTTCCCAAGTCTTTTTTGGGGATAATTTAATCAATGGAGTTTTTCCAAAAAAGAAACCAAATATGTAAGCAGCAATATCATTAATCACAATCAGTGATGCTGGAAGAAGAAACCTGCATTATTATTATTCAAACATAAGTAGAATTTGACCTTAAACTAAGTGGTGAAAAAAAATATAAATTATAATTGTAAATTTGTAATACCAGAAAATTCCTTCAAAAATGTTGGCAACAGTGAAAGATGATTGAGTGAAAACCACAATAAGGATCATATGAGTCCATGCATATTGCCCAAATTGATACTTGTACATCTTCTTTTTTAGTGAAAGAATAAACCACACAAAACCTAAACCAATGTAAGTCAATTTTCATTGTTATAACTGGATTGATTTTTTAAAATATATTGTTTTAACTAAAAAATATAAAGAAATGACATTGACAAACCTGTTATATACAGGAAATAACAGGTGACCATGTGATATTTGATAAGATTTCCCACAAGTTTATACCAAAACTTGTCAGTTGTAACTGTGTTGACCAACCGTTGACTAAGAATCCGACCATATACAAATAACATTGCTGTGAAGAAAATGTGCCTGAAACAAACATGAAACAACAACTCGTTACAGCTCCATCTCTTGTTTGTGCAAAAGACGTAAATGCCCTTCTCATCCTTATCATTGTAAATAACCCTAGAAAGCTTGTCGAGTCTCATCTGTCCAATCAGGTGAGCTTTCTATGGCTATTTTCGATGATGAGAATGAAAATGGCGTTCATGTCTTTTGCACAAACGAGGAGGGCATTTACGTCTTTTTGCACAAATAGGGCCCAAAAAAATGCTTGTTTGAGCTTTCTACAGCTATTTTCGATGATGAGATGAGGAGGGCATTCACGTCTTTTGAACAAACGAGGAGGGCATTTACGTCTTTTTGCACAAATAAGGCCCAAAAAGATGCTTGTTTTGAGCTTTCTATGACTATTTTCGATGATGAGAATGAAAAGGGCATTCGTGTCTTTTGCACAAACAAGGAGGGCATTTATGTCTTTTTGCACAAACGGGTCCTAAATAGATGCTTGTTTTTGAGCTTTCTATGGTTATTTTCGATAATGAGAATGAAAAGGACATTCACGTCTTTTGCACAAACAAGGAGGACATTTACGTCTTTTTGCACAAACGGGCCCTAAAGAGATGCTTGTTTTGAGCTTAGCTTTCTATGGCTATTTTCGATGATGAGAATGAAAAGGGCATTCACGTCTTTTGCACAAACAAGGAGGGCATATATGTCTTTTTGCACAATCAGGCCCTAAAGAGATGCTTGTTTTGAGCTTTCTATGGCTATTTTCGATAATGAGAATGAAAAGGGCATTCACGTCTTTTGCACAAACAGGGCCTAAAGGGATGCTTGTTGAACTTACCAGTTCAATAGCCTAAATCCTGGAAGCTGTTTTTCTTCATGTGCTTTGATTAATAAATTGAACAACTCTTTTGCCATAAAGATTTGTATTATGACAATCATTGCCCATATATAAAGATGTCCCATGTAGACAACAAATATAAAGCCACCAATCATCCAAATAGTTGAATAAGCACGAACCAACATTGACTTATACTTATTTTGATCTTTTGCCAATAATTTGGTTCCAGTTGTTTGGTCAACATCACCTGGAACCTGATATTCAACATGGAAATGTCATTGATCTGTTATTTCTTTTTGAAAAAGACATGGCTTTCTTTGAATTTGAAGTGATAAAAGTACAAAACTATCCCAATTATGACACTCAAAGGGAAAGAATCTTAAGATATTAGCATATTGCAAAGTTTCTTTATTGAGGTTTTAAAGATATTCATGTATAGCTATATGATAGCTTAAGAAAAAATAGTTGAGTATATATGTTTGAAATATATTTCACAAAGATTATAAAAGATTTCATTAACTATTTACCTCATTTGAACCTTTACGACGCCGAACATGTCCAGTATGCATAGTGTTTTCGTTATCTTTTATCATCACTCTACAACAAGAAAATGTACTCAACTTAACTATGAATCAAAATGCAAAATAATAAGTATCTCATAAGATGCAATAATATAATTCTTGTTGCACTTGGAAGATAATAATGTGGATCAATGATACTAGATTACTATCACACAGCAAATGATGACATTGATGAGATCAACTATTTATAGACTTTCAATTGTTTTACTAAACACATAAATGAAGGTCTATGACATTGATTGCTAAATTATGTACTTTAGTCTTTATATCTAGGGTTTCAGAATTCAGATCATTCATATTATTACACAACAGATTGTGATTTATATATGATTCCTAATAGAAGTGAAAACCTTGATCGTTGATTCAGGGGAAGATTTCCTTTTCATAATTATTGTTTATTTCTTTCTCAAGCTTACCTTTTGATTGTTTTACTTTGCATTTGAACAAGGATGAATTCAATTTCACAAACTAATAATATCAATTTCCCAACACATACCTCCCCACTCTAATTTCGCCCATGGATTAAAAGGTACAAGTATGTTCTTCACTCTCTAGACCTCGACTATAACTCCACATGGAATACTCAAAACGCATTACATTACTCAAAAATACTAAACCCTAAGTGCTCGAAATTAGCTACGTTACATTCAGCGTTAGGTTTTTAAATTCAAATCTTCCTATTTCATGTGCATACTACGAAACCTAAAGGATAACTAAATTAATCTCCACATACAGCACAATAGCTTCGATGATATATTCCTTGACGCAAATCATCAGGATACAAACCAAAAAAAAACACAAATTATTCGAATTTTAATGCAATTGCAGAAAAAAAACGAAACAAAACCATTGATACTTACAGCTGAATCTGAGTTAGCGGAAACTGAAAGTAATTTCCGAGAGAGTTGTAAACAATGTGTCAATCTATGTAGCAAGAGAGAGCATACCTGATTAGACGAGAGAGAATAATATGGGTTGAAGTAAAGAGGAGATTCGCTGTACTTAGCTTAATTATTGTGTGCTCCTTCAATTTTTAATATTTATATGTTTTCCAACAAAATGGGATTTTATATGGTTATGCAATAAATTGGATCTTACAAAAATAAATTGGATCTTACAAATAATTTAGGCTTAATGAATAACTATGTTTTTTTCATACATTTATATTTGCCGGTTGAACTTGTTTGTTCTATTCAACTTAAGATAATATAACCGTGATCTTAGGTTAAGTTGATTTGACAAATTACATGACATTATTTTATAT